AGGGGTACAGTAAATGACGTGAGAAAGCCAGAAACCAGCTGAACATGTAAGAGTTCACATTTATTGGACCTATGACCTATGCTCACCTTAAATGGGAACGTTTACACATTTCAGAGATGGTTCATTGCTAAAATAATTGAGACTGATTCTAATATGATGGCCACTTTTCCAAATAAATACATTTATCATTATTGTTTGATAAGAATGATTACAATTTCATTTGAAACCTGAAGCTCAAAAGAAAAATATCAATGATTGTGAATTTTTATCTTTTAACATATTTATCTTATTTGTCTTTTTTAATGTAAGCCGTGTATTTTAGATGCATTTTGCTTTGACATTATATTGTATATTTGTGTTTTTATAAGAACTTGTATTTCTATTACTGTGTTGAATTTGTTATGTTCTCAACTAAAAATTGAAAAAAATGACAGATTCAGGATAAAAATCTGTTTTAATCCAATCTCAAGTAGTAAAGACAATTGCGGGTTTTAATCCAAAAAATATATTTTAAATTGATATCTTTTCATATTGTTAAGCAGCTTGAATTGCACATATGAAAAGGAATATAGGACTGCTATATATTCAACAATGTGACTTTTAGGCTCCTGAGTGAACATTGTATGGCTTTGTGTTTCTACAAAGCAAACTAAATAATAATCTCCTTCTCGAGAAAACTCAAAGGTCAGCATGTGGGAAGTACTTCTTTGTGGCACAATCTTCCTCTTTTTGTTAAGAGATCGTAAAACAATCATAAAAAAATTCAATCTGCGTTAATTCTCTTTTCAGTGAGGCGCTATAAAGGACAGGAGAGGAATTACTGGCAGATTTGCGGCTACTACTTCCGGAGGGTGAATCTGTGCGACGGTAGTTTTTTACGTGTGTCCCGTCTATCATCCGGGTCTGCTCCTTTCATCTGTTAGTGCTGCCACATGTGCACATACATTATTATAATTACAAAAGTATTTAGAAAAAATGGGTTCCCTTACATTTTTGGATGTCCCCTTGTAAATTAATCAAGAACTTATGATAATATCTGACCTCAAATACATCTTTAGAAGTATGTTGATTAAAAAAATAAAGATGTCTTTCATTAATCCATGTTTAGTGGATTGAGTACTTCTGTAAAAAATAAAGTGTTCTGGATAAAAAAGTAAAGTAAATGACCATAAAGTTAATGGATTAAGTACTCTTTTTCAAAATAAGAGACACAGTTACATGATACAAATGTTTTGTTCTGGATACAAATAAAAGTATTGGCGATATTTACCTCATAAAATGTAATGTATAATAAATGTATTTGTTCATTGAAAAGCAAGTAACCCTAACAATGATCATTGAAAAAACTGAAGTTTACTATTTAAATATTTTAGTTTTATTTCAAATCAATCAAATAGGCTTGTGTTTTTATTTTATTATTATTTTTGACAAGCACAACAAATGTAGGCGTTCATCTGTTTCAGTGGATGTAGGGGTGTGGACCTTTTCACTTTTCCTTTATTTCCTATTCAGCTTATTAAAGTAAAAGCATCTCACTTTAATAACTGTTGATATTTAATTTCCCACTTGTCAGGATTTCAAAAAAACTCCCCAGGATGGGTTAAAGTCGTAAAATGTCTGTGCCAACAGGTAATAACGGGGAGTTGTCTGCAGAAGCAATAAGCAATATTTTCTATCCCATCACAGCATGTTAGGACAATAAGAAGAACGGATAGAGGCCAGAAGAGAGAGTCGTAAAAACAGAACTGATGGAGCTGATCATTTCTTGCTGCTGTTTTAAAGTGTTTTTATTTTGTCTTCACTGTTGCACTTAAATCTGGCCACAAATGAAAAAACCTTGGTTGATCTTTGTATTGTGTTGATTGTATTGGTGTGTGCATCTGTTTCTGTGTGTTTCTGATACTGAACCTCATTTAGGGAAGTGCAACTATGACTCCGTCTTTAATGGGAACGAGATCTCCCCCTGGTTTTTTCAGTGTGAGGGTCTTTCCCTTTTAGTTGCTCAAATTAGGATTAAGTTCCATAAAGACATTTACTTTTTTTTTTTTTTTTTATTATTTTCGACAAATTTCCTGAAACATAATTTGCTAAAACCTCTGGTCAGTGTTATTTTAATTAGTGAAACAGGAGGAAACTATGAATTTGTTGGGAACTATTTTCAACGGCGGATTAATCCACATGTGGTGCTTTAGTGAGTATTAGTGGCAGCATCACTGTGTATTTTGGGCTTCATTGATTAATAATCAATGGAGCTCTTTGGGACAGAAAATAAGATAAGTCTCAGGCACTAAATATTACACACAATACTTGTTAGTATGATCAGTTATTTGAACGTTTTGTTCTTTCATTCAATTACAGAATCTACATGTAACAAGACTTTTTCCTTTGAAGATCATGTAAACGAGAGACCTGGTCTCTGTAATCAGGGACACCTGGTTTCCCCGGGTACATTACACCAGAAGAAAGAGGTCGTCTCGGCCTCGTGTACGGGTAACCGGGTGTCTGTGCCGGAACAAAGATCTGAGAGGGAACATATTGCTGTGAAGCTGTTTAACAATGAATCCTTGTATTTAAAATAATTCAATTTAAAGTCTGACAAACATTAACTCTGACACTAAATATCCTCTTGATTTGAAAATAAATCAATTCGGACACAGTGTGACGGAAATGCACTTTGAGTATGGAGCACACACACATCAGGAGTCAGGGTTTTGTATCACTAATAAATCATTAAAGTACCTGATGCATGCACAACAGATGTCCCAGTATCCAGGATACAACAGTGCATGGAAACATGTCCACCTTACTGCAACAACAGATTAGGGTTTGAGTAATAAGGGTGATCTGGTTTCTTCAATGTGCTAATAAGTAACGACATGATTTTTTCATTTTAAAGTTTTGTTGTGTTTCATACTATAATAATTGTTTTTCCCTTAAGCATTTGCTCCTCCCTGACAGAAAACAGCACCACAGTTAAAAAACAGGCCACAAAACTGCAAGAGCATTTTGATGTTGAGCCGTCATGACTCAACATTCAAATTAAATCCATGAAAATCTTACGCATCACAGGCCGTTTATTTCTAGGAAAATTGTGATCACAGCGGAGGATACTAAGTGCATGACAGTCCGAGTTTCCTTTACGTTCTGCAGGAAGAGTTTCACATCTGGACGTAGTTGTTGAAAGGTCAGAGGAAGATCACGTCTCTTCTTCTGATCCTCTCAATCCTCGTCGTTCGGATACCAAATTTTGAAATCAAAGCAAACTAACACTTTTTAAGAATGAGCTCATAATATAAACTCTTAACCACATGTTAAGTCATCTGAGTGTCTTTACGTTAGATAAATGCTCGGATTAAGCTGCTGCTTCATTGATTTACCTTTTAATGACCTTAGTGCCTCAGCGGATGAGAGCCTTATGGATGAAGATCAGCAGGGATCAACTTTCTAAATGACGCTGTGTAACAAGCATTCCTCAATGTACAAACCAGTGGCACCGACAACAGAACAAATACACTCATCATGGAACTTTGTTTATCATTTAGCTTTACCTACAATATATCCCCATAGTTCAGTTCAATATTATTCATTGCAGATGAACTATATATTTAAAGTTACTACTTTATAAAGTTTATGTTTTACAGCTAAATCTGTATTTTATTCTAAATTACAGACAAAGATTATTAGATTTTTACAATGCACGACAACTGATACATTTTGAGTTATACTTAAAATGTCAAGATTGTAGTGTGATAAAAAATAGTTATCTCTTGATACTGAAAACGTATTATGCAACATTGTGCAGAATCTCTCTATTTTTTATTTATTTAGTTGTAGTGCTAAACCATCTTGCAGAACGTACGGCATTAGTTCAACAAAGTAATAGAAAAATGTGTTAACGTGCATTTTCTTTTTCAATTTTAAAATAATATATTTGTTAATTCTCACTTTTTTGTATCATAAGTGAGATTGCAGAATTCACTTTATTGCATAAACTATACAATTATTATACTTTAAAACCCTTTTTTTCAACATTTTCAAAAAGCAATAATTCAATATTAATCCCATATGATAAAATATGAATTTATTTATCCTAAGTGTAATTGTTGAAACACCTCACTTAATTTTTCATTGACCTTAATACTTACTTTTAGTTGCACAGTTACAGGTCATAGAATAAACCTACACATTGAATACAATATTATAATTGTATAAATGTTATATCTTGCTTTAAATAATATGTTTGTATGGCACATGTTCCATATGAAATGTATGAATACTTTTCAGTTTTTCAGTGCTGCACAACTTTAAACAGGTTGCTATCTCTAAACAGAAAACTTGAGAGCAACAGCTTTTCTTTCCCCCTTGGACACACAGTACTGAAGATTGCTGACAGCAGATCGTGAATGCGATATACGGAGCCCTGACAAACTGCATCAGGAAGAATACGCTCATATTTTTTGCACATCTCACAGTAACATAAATACATGTAAAGGCATGAGTTTTTTTTTTTTTAAACCTTCTTAATTACACAGGGATTTACTATAGGAGTTTCTGAAAACGCTTACGGTTCTCCGTAAGAATTCACAACCCGATCGACCTCTTCCCAGCTTTTTCTCAGTGAATGAGCGAAAAAACACATGACGAAAGCGATCTGAATATTAGACACATTGAACAAAAACTTTTGTTTTCATTTGAATTGTGAGTCGCACCCACTGCACTTTACATGCCACAGCTGGAGAATCCTTTCAAAGCAGCTGGCAAACAGGGAAATATTTCTGACAAATCTTTTTACGATCTCACTGAGTATGATTACTAAATTCAGCAATTTCATCTCTGACAACAGAGATTAATCATGAGGACCATAAAATAAAGTGTTTTTAAATGCTGCAAGTTGTTCAGCATCTGTGTTCATACTTTTCTTTCTGTTTATCTCCATCGCTTGTTTTCTTGGAATTTTTGGGAAAAAGACAAGATCAAATCAAATGTTCTGCTTGCCTTACCTGTGGTTGCAGGGTCCGCTGTCTCTCAGTCTGGCAAGCTTTTAGTTTCTAGACGTTTTTATAGTGAGCCGCCCTCCTTTTAGCCCCCTTTCCTCACTGCACGTCTTTATTTCTCTGCCTCTTTGGTCCACAAGTCTCTACTCTCCCTTCTGTCCTTCCTCACCACACCTCTGATTTTGTGGTTTGTATCTTCTTGTGTGTCTTGTTTCACTTCTTCTTTCTCTCTGTTTGTATTTCACTGTGGTTCGTCCTCTCCTTATAAAAGGTTTTTCTTTCACCAGCCCTCCTTTTATCCCCCTCTCCTCTGTTTCTTCTTTTTTTCTTTGGTACCTTGCCCTCTGTTGATGATGAAGACATAATGGGAGGTTTGTAGTGGAGGCGGGACCAGCACTGCAGTGGGTTGGGGGATGGGAAAGGTCAATCTATGCAGAAGATGTACAGATAAATGTCAAAGAGACTTCCAGAAGTGTTGTTTCTGGTAGGTGTTTCCGTTGTTGCTCATATTGGAGGACGAGAAGTTGGCCTTTTGGAAAAATTCTCCATGTTACCCACAGATCTGATCGTGATATATTGGTGGCTTCCTACATTTCCCAGATTGGCCTTCTGGACATACAACACTGGCTACATCCCAATTCCAGACCACAATAGTCTAACAGTGTGTTCACACTGGTGGAAGTGACAATGAAAACTTGAACAAGACTAAGAGACTGCAGCCAGTGAGCTTTGAGCTAAATGCTAACACTAGCATGACAGCATCTGGGCAATAACAATATACTAATATTTAGCAAATTGACTATCTTTTAGCATTTAATTATGCTAACATTATGCTAATTAGCACATATAAAGTAGAACTGATAGGAAGGTGTGTACTTAGCCATAACAAATGTATTAGGCACATTTAAATTATAACCTGATGGCGCCTGATGAAAAGTTCAGCCGATCTTTAATAGATCAGCAAAATTGGCTCTTTGTTGGTGGTTTGGCTTTAAATCAGCCAGTCAGATTGTCCATAAATAATACCCTATATACGAAAATATAGTGCAACTCTTAAAAAAGCACACAGAATGATTGATGGAAATGGGTGTATTGTATCTTAAGTAGATCTAAAACAAACACACACAGTTCACATCAGGTCTGGCCAAGCAACAGATGGAAAGTTTGAAGGTCAATTTCAGCTTGATAGGATCACTAATTGAAATCAGCCTTAGAAAACCTAATTGCTGTTTCTGTCTTTTAGGTCCCCCGGGGGACACAAAGGCTTATTAGTGCATTTACAGACCAAATTATTTACCGACTCCAAAACGCATCTTGGAGTTAAGATGACTATAAAAAACGAAAACATACATAGACGTATTGGCCCCTTTTTCGAAAAATCTGGATGCTTACGATTACATATTTTAGTGAGGGGTCAACACTGATCAAGCATACTGCAAAGAGCATATCAAATGTATTGTACTTTACTTTTCTTATAGCTGGAGTCTCTGAAAACCCAAGCAATTTAAGTATTTTGAGACAAAACACTCAAATCCTAGCTGCAGATATCAGAGGCCTGTACTACGAAGCTGGATTTTCGCTTAGCCGGCTAACTTCAGGGAAATCTCGGGCTTTCCGGTCCTACGACGCTGGTTCTCTTTTTAGCAGGCTAGATTTCCATGGTAACTTATGCTGAGCGGCAAACCTGCTCCGGAGCAGGTTAGGTGGCAGGCTAAGAGATCAACTCAGTGAAAGCACCGCCTGCTGACCAATCAGAGCTCCGTGTGCGGAGTTTAAAGCGATCAATTCATATTACAGGATAGAGGAAATACAGAAAAACTGCCGTTGCAGGAAAGACGGCCGGCAAAAATCAACTGACTGTGTGAACGTGAAAATTAATAGAATATCCCCTCCCATCTTCAGAGCAATCTGACTATTATAATATTAGCGTTAAGAAAGCTTACTTAAATATCTGCCACGACATAAGTAACCGGATCAGAGTAACATTAAGTACAGTCCGCGGCACTGTGAGTGCAGACGTCGATGTGTGCCATTATCATTCATAACATATTACATCATAATGTATCATATATTTCCTTATTTGAGTCAGCTTCTTGAGCCGTATCTGGCCGTGCAACACTCACAGTGTCACATACTGTATGCAGAAGTATTATTTTAAGCAACACATTAAGTTGACGAAACACTCGTGTCTTGGACGGGGCAGTGATTTCATAAACCTGTTAATGTACGCATTCAAACACTTTTTCTTTTACCAGCTGTATTCACCTTGCAGGTGCAGCTATGTGGCTTTTATCCTGGATAAAGTGTTTAAGTCATGGATGTTTAAAGTTTAACTTCTTCATATTTGACTAATATCAAAGTTCACTTTTCATTCAGGAAGTATGACGCTGCGCTGTCGGTACGCTTGTCCGTGTTTGAGATTGGTCGAATGCTCCAAATACCACCCCTTTCATGTGAACGCGCACCTAACTAGATAGGACACGGCTGGCTTGAGCGATCCACTTGATAACCAGCGTCGTAGTACAGTTTAGCCAGAGCGCGTATGTTTTGGATTGGGCCAACCGGCTAACTCAAACATATCCAGGTTAGGTTGAACCAGCTTCGTAGTACAGGCCTCTGCTGTCTCTTGATTATTGTAATTTTAGGGTCATGGATCAAAGGTAAATTATCCCATTGTGTGAATTAATACATGTTTGTCTCATTTATTGTATAAACAACCATGACACTAAAAGCTTTTCAATTATTTGTTCTCTAATGAAGCCATGTGAAATCGTTAGATCTTTGACGAGCTTTCCTTTCCGTCCTCGAGAGTTATCCCATTTTGGAAAGAAGCACTCTATATTGACTTTAGTTGTTTCTCATGTTGATGTTTACTGACTCAGAGCTATCCTGTTGGGTTTGATTTCCATTGTAAAAAATTACATACAGAGTAGAATGTATACTGATAATATCTTGCATCAGAGTATTTGAAATCCAAGAAGCTTTCTTTATATAACAGCAACATTTTGAGTTGATGGACATGACACATATGTGACCCGCTCTATCGAAATCAGTCGGAAGTCGCAACGGCTAATTTGCGTGAAAAAAGTGTTTTTCGGGGTCCGGGTGTTTTGTTTGATTTTAAATAAACAAAGTCTTGGCTTTCTGAATATGAAACTTTTATTTCCAAAATCACACGATAAATACATTTTTTAAGCTTGTAAAGGGAAGATGACAGCTCTCACTCGCCACTCTGCTGTTCCGCAGCGCCGCTTCCCCTCCCTCCGGCTGAAATTATGAATGTAAGGCGTATAGTAATCATAGATAACACGGCAGGGTCCGTTACAGTTTGTTTTAATCTGATTTCAATTAAACAAAGTCTTGGCTTTCAGAATATTAAACTTATTTCGGCAAATTCAGATGATAAATACAACTATGAAGCTTGTAACGGCATAATTACAAGCGGAGAACGGAGTAACTTGACGTCACAGCAGGCATAACAACAGCCGGTGTTTCTCGTGAGTGTTTTTCCCGGGAAACAAACACAATACACACAAACGCAAAATTACACAAACACACACACACGTATACACTCACACACACACACTCGCGAGCTTCCCCCAGACCAGTAATCCAAACGAAAATATCTTCCCTCCGTAGTATTTTGATAATTTGCTCCGCTAATAATCAATCAGATCGATGGATTCCAGAGAAGAGGAAACTTTGAAGGCCTTTTTCTCAAAATGATGACTCTGTGATAGTCATTATATAATGTGAGATATTTTGCTTAATATTTGGAGTACAACAACAATCCTGATATCATTAGAAAGCTAGGAATCTCCTCTTTCCAACAGTTTATACAACTCAAAATGTGTCTTCGGGTCAATGCGACTGATTTCAATGGAGCAGGTCACATATGTAAAAACTAATGTCGGGCTGATTTATCCTGCCAAAATCTTCTTTTAATAATAATGCATTTGCAAATGTTTTGGATCGTAAAATTGGAGATCAGGAGATGACCTTTGTTATGTAGCCTGGAAGTCCACAGAGTGTGAAGACCAGTAAAGTGTTGCTGACTTTCAACCCTTTTTAATTGTTTTGGTTTTACAATCGGAAAACTCCAATCCCATCTACAGTTATGTCATGAAGCTTTTTCCATAAAAAAAACAGTGATGAACCCAATAACAGAGTTAGCAACTTGCTAGTAAAAATTCATGCAAAGTGTGTGGGCCAATGTACCAAGGCAGATACCTGATCATAGCAGGCCGGGTTTCAAACCTTGACGAGGACGACACATCCACAGCAGCATTTAAGGTCCCATGTCTTGGCCATTTCTACTGATCATAATTCCATTGTTGAGGTCTACTAGAATAGATTTACATTGTTCATCTCATACAGCATCTCTGTATAGTATGTGTATTCACTCTCTGTCCTACACGCCTTGTTCTATTTCGTATATGGCTTCGCCCTCTAAGGCTATCGCCATTGGGTAATCCCCCTGCGCACCCGCGCATCACTGAAACACTTGTAGTCCACGCCCCGCCCGCAAGGTGGGCCCCACCCTCGGGCTCCCTTCCGGTATAAATAGGAAGGAGGCCCGACAATCTGCTCCCTCTTTTCTTCAGCACCCCGTTACTGAAGCACAAGAGACACTTCAATTACAGAGTAATCATGAGTAGCAATTGTGTGAGAGATTGTCCCTCATGTGGCTCTGGATATATCATGAGCTATGACCAGCACACGATATGCGAATCCTGCCTGGGGTCAGAGCACGCGTACGCGGCTCTCAGCCAGCAGGTCGCATGCACACACTGTGCCCGTCTCCCCTCGGACGATTGGCCCGTCCAGGCTTTCGAGCCCGTGGACGGCAGCCTCATGTCCCTGGAGCCGAGTGCCGGGCAGGAGTCGGACGACTCCTACCCCGCCTCCCTCCACGGTTCACCGTGCGGTTCTCCCCTCCCTCCTCTCCCCCGGACGGGGGAGACAGAGTCGGAGCAGGGTGCCGGCTTGGCGGCCGAGTACGCGGTCCCCTTCTCCGTCACCACGGCGCTGCCGGCGATAGGTGGCATCCTGGGGGAACTGCCGGAGATCATATGCAAGGCGGCCGCCTGCAGAGATCTCCCCGTTCCCCTAGCTCAGGAGAGGTGTGCTCCGGACGACATGGCTGGAGTTTTTTCGCGGGTGCAGACGGTCAGGAGTGATCCGGTCTGGCCACGCTTCCCCGCCATCAGGAGGTACCAGGAGGGGGCGGCGGCGCCTTCACCAAGGTGGAGGGGTTCACAGATG